AAGCAACAAATTTGATCGAATAATTGCTTGCCGGTGGTGTTCGACTGGATTGCGAGCTCCAGTTCGGCATCCATAGTCCTGACGCAAACATTGATCTTCAAAACAAAAAAATCATGACAACATTCCTCAACTACTGGCATAATGGCCATGGGTCCTAACCCGAAACTAATTCATGCTGGCTATATGCCAGAAAATCAACAGCTGTTTCACAAGAGAATGAAGAATGAAGACGAGGAGTGAAATAAATATCGGTGAAGTGGGAATGGACTTCCTCCATTCATTCCCCAAGAAACTTCAATTTCTGACGCGAAAAATGGATATTTCTTAAAAGGGAATCATACTGAACTCACGCTCAGCCAGCCCAGGAAGCAATGGGAATGAGATTCGATTTTGTTAGCGTTTTTCGGTTCACATAGAGTCGCATAGTCATGGTCCTTGAGAAGTAATCATCCAGACATGTAGACAGTTTCTTTTTACTGTGCAGGATCTCGCTCTAAACCGTTCAGACTCTAAAATCAAATCCCTGAAATCATATCCCTAAAGGCGAAGGATTGATACAAGTGGCAGGGCGGATTTCCGTGACCCTGAAAAGGCGCTGCATAGCAGTTTTCCCGAGGGAGGTACTCTTATAGGATCCTATCAGGCTACAACATTCCGTCACAAACGCCCGAAAGGCTCGCCCGTCTACAAATGGACGACCTTACTAGATGCTCGTTTTGCTTCACTTGCTGAATAAAACAGCGAAGGGAATATTATGAAGCGGTTACGGTGCTAAACGGATATATGGGTACCTACTGACATTCTTACCTGTTGGAGCGGTTATTTGCAATACGCCTCCACCCCAGCCTAAAATGCCAGCAGGGCGAAGGACAGTCGAGGAGTAGGAGATAATTTGATATCACTAAAGTATGCCCAACTCTCAGGAATGAGGTAAATATCGGTAAAATCCCCGAACAAACAGCAACAAACATCATCAAAATTGGATGACGGGTCCTTTACCAATTTGAAGGAGCCGCCGCGGGACAGAACTCGTACGGGACGACGGCCACGCCGCCGGCTCCGCCCACCGGCGCGACGCTTATCGTCGACGATAGAATCGCCACACACCCGGCTGCGGTGCTAAACTGATATATGGGTACTTACAGACATTCGTACCTGTCGGAGCGGTTATTTGCAATACGCCTACGGGAAACTCGTCCGAAATATCTTTTCAAGAACGACGGTTTTCTTCTCAGTTTTTTACCGTTTCACTTCGTTTTTTTTCGCCATTTTACCACTAGATAGCGCCCTGCCGGCGTTTTGGGCTGGGGTGTAGGCGTATTGCAAATAACCGCTCCGACAGGTAAGAATGTCAGTAGGTACCCATATATCCGTTCAGCACCGTAACCGCTTCATAATATTCCCTTCGCTTTGTTTTACTCAGCAAGTGAAGCAAAACGTGCATCTAATAAGGTCGTCCATTTGTAGACGGGCGAGCCTGGCGGGCGTTTGTGACGGAATGTTGTAGCCTGATAGGATCCTTATAAGAGTACCTCCCCCGGAAAAACTGCTATGCAAAGCCTTTTCAGGGTCGCGGAAATCCGCCCTGCCACTTGTCAATCCTTCGTCTTCAGGGATTTGATTTCAGGGATTTGATTTTAGTGTTTGAACGATTTGTAGAGCGAGATCCTGCACAGTAAAAAATACTGTCTACATGTCTGGATGATTACTTCTCAAGGACCATGACTATGCGACTCTATGTGAACCGAAAAATGCTAACAAAATCGAATCTCATTCCCATTGCTTCCTGGGCTGGCTGAGCGTGAGTTCAGTATGATTCCTTTTCAAGAAATATCCATTTTTCGCGTCAGAAATTGAAGTTTCTTGGGGACTGAATGGAGTAAGTCCATTCCCACTTTACCGATATTTATTTCACTCCTCGTGTTCATTCTTCATTCTCTCGTGAAACAGCTGTTGATTTTCTGGCATATAGCCAGCATGAATTAGCCTCTGCTTCAAAACCTGCGGGTTAGGACCCATGGCCATTATGCCAGTAGTTGAGGAATGTTGTCATGATTTTTTTGTTTTGAAGATCAATGTTCGCGTCAGGACTATGGATGCCGAACTGAAGCTCGCAATCCACTCGAACACCACCGGCAGGCAATTATTCGATCAGATTTGTTACTTCCTTTGCCGTTTTTAATCAAAAGGTGTTTCTTTTCGTATCGCTTTCGATGTGATTTCTTCAAGATTGTGAAAACGATTGGTCTTCGTGAAATATGGTATTTTGGACTTCAGTACACCGACACGAAAGGTGAAGCTTCCCCACTTTTCCTTATCTTCAAGTGTGTATTTATCGTAGCGGTCATCTATAAAAACGATTCTCACTAACTGCTGTACGATGACATGTGTATTTTGCCGCGGGCAATATTTCAAAAGCCGTTTGTATTCGCTTCCATGAAAGCGCGATCATGCATCAACGCCCTCGTGTTTGCGTCATTTCGCCAGCTGGATTTTCCTTTTGTCATCTTTCTCTTCTTGAATGGAATTTGGGGCAGTTCGGCGATTGGGGGGGGGGGGGCGTTTTGCATTTTTGCTATTCAATCGACTATCGAGCCGTTTAGAGAGCCATTTTGTGAGTTTACAAGAGTTGACAGGTTTTAGCATGTTGGCTCGACGAGCTTGCACTAGCTTCACAAGAGTGAGACTTGTAAACAGGAACCAGCGAAGCAAAATGCCCCTCCCCCGCCACCGGATTGTACCTGAGGAACTCGTTAGCGAGCTGTGATATTATTGTCCCTGTAACAGTTGCTATGTATAGTTTTCAAGAATGGGGAACGGTATTGGAGCGTTTATCTACAATGCGGTCACAAGGGGACCGGTATTCGAGCGTCTATCTACAGTGCTGTCACAATGGAAGAGACACGGATCCTCGTCGACTGGATGCGGGAATCCATGGCTCCATGGCCTCCTTCGTTGACGTTGGCTAGTTACCGTCCAAATTGCCCGATCCGTGCCATTCCTTTATGCTTATTTATGTGATACTGTATGCACGACTATTCGAAGCAAACAACCAAAGACCCAGAAGTGGTCAAAATCAGAGTGATCAGCGATCCAGAAGCGGATACCAGCCGCGGTCACTGGCTAGACCATTCACTAAGGTCGTTCCGGAAATTACACAATTGCACGGGAGCATATATACAAGCAACTATCAAGCACGTGTTTGCGAAAAAAGCGAGCTAATATGTCCGACGACGAAGATTTACAGGATACTGCGGACCGGGCGGGGAACTTCACAAAAATAACGCTGAAGAAGCCACTTTGCTGAGCCCAATAATAAGCACATTCGAAAGGCTAAGGTCTGAATTGCAAGAAGTTAGAACTGTCGCAGACGACGTGATAAGCACTGCATTGAGAACAAGTAGCGAAGTGCGAGAAAGAGTATATAGCGCAACAAACAAGCAAGTCCAACTAGCGGAGTGTCAACTAGATATTGTTAGAGCACTAGCGCTAAAAAACAAACAAGCAATAGGCCGCGATAATAAAATAGTCGCGCTACTTTGTGAACTCTATGGCTGCGATGCTAAGCAAGTGGTCCAACACGGAATCGAGCAGGAAGAAAAAAATAGAGATGTTACAGGCATAACACTTGCGAACGAAAGTGGCGGACCGTAAGGAACTCCAAAGAAGGAGGCGGATGATTTTGGCGGGTCAAGAGCCCATGGAAAGTGAAAACGGAAAAAAACTTCATTGACATCCATAATACTGAATGCATTCAGCGGACGCCGCGCATGACACCAACAGCGATGGGATCTTTGTCAAATGGGCAGCAAGGTCAGTTCCACTCACTAAGAAGTAGCGGTTCAAGTAGTGACGAGTCAGAATTGTTTTTGCAAGGCGAGATGAGCACAGCACGCCCCATGAATGACCACATGAGCGGCTGCTATGCCAAATGTCAAACCATTCTGAAAGCGCAAACGAGAAAAGTTCACAGATTTCTTAAGACAGTTTCGATTGAAATACCCAGAGACCACACGGCGAGATAATGAAAGGGCGCGATATCTTGGTAGGCTTGTTAGAGGGGGAAGCAAGAATGCATTATAAAACCCTCCCCAAGGATGTCTGAAACGGGTCCTCACAAACATTAACACTGGGATTTCAAGGCAAAGGCTCCAGTCCAAGGCACGAACGGTAGCAGCAAGGCCCCCCACGCCCCCAATGTTTTATCTTTCTTCTGAACTAATACTATTGGCGATGCCCAGACCGATGTTGATCTCATTACAATCTTTCTTCCTCCGGTCATTAAGGATGCTCTTGAGCCCTGATCCTTGTGGTACTGGCCTTTATGTTAGCTCCTTGTCTGTGACGGCAAACACATGTCGAAAGTTTTCGACCAATTCTAGCAAGCGTTCTGAGAAGTGCCCGCATTTTGCGACTCCACATGTAGTTCCAACATGTCCGACTCTATGTCCCTTGTTGCCACTTGTGTCCAGTCAACTTTCCCAGACTCCGATCTCCTGCCCTTTTTGGAAGATTATGGGCTGTGATGTATGTTTGAGTACAGGTACTTTTGTGGTGCCATTTTGTGAGAATTGACATACACCTGTCGGAGTGTTTCCGCTGATTCAACGAAGTGCCGCGTCCTTTGCTGGCCATTTTTTTGCACCTGGACGGGTACGCATTGTCCTGGACTGACGTATACCCGTTTTACTACGGTTGCCTCTCTGGAACTGTGTTCTGGTCCCTGTTGCAATGATTTCTCCTCATTCGCGCGACTTTTCTGGTCTTTTTGCCCAGTTGTCACCACATTGTTCTTCTGTCTCAATGGTTCCTGTAGATGCTTTTGCCCGACTGGCATGGCGTCTCCTTGTATTTGCTGGATCGGTTCTCGCCAACCGTGTCTTGTACTGCATTCTTCATCTTCTGTGCTTGTACATCGATCAATCCCAAAGTTAACGCCAAGGTCTGCAACACATTGGTACCTAGTAGGATGACGTTGTCTTATCATTCAACATCTTGACTTACGCCCTTACTGGGTGTTCTCCGCTGCCTTCAATGCCTAGGTTCAGCAAGAGGTCCATCTTGTTCCCTGATGCATCGTATGCGTTGACATCAGGAAGTGGTACATGTGTGCATAAACGGCCCATGTCTTGTCCGCGATCCCTTGCTCTCTTCAAAATTTCAAGCGGTATTATGGCTATCTGCAGCACCATGAGTCCATGGTCGCACTGAACGACACTGCCTGCCTATCGCTTTCCTTGCTCCAGCAGTCTTGCGCTTCATAGCCCCTTTTGCCACAGTTCGCACAGTGCACGTCCTTATGGCTCCTTTGTGGTGCGCGTCCACCGCATTTCTTACCGTCTTATTTGTCCGGCGTGGGGGCCTTGCTGCTACCGTTCATGCCTTGGAGTGGAGCCTTTGCCCTGAAATCCCAGTGACGCCTGTGTGCCTTGTCGAGCGAACTGTTTTCCCTCAAACGCTCCATTCTCAACGCGGTTTCATTTTCTCGTGAACCTTCCCACTGGTTTCTGACTCCATTATCTCTGGGAACTGTATTGCTTCTGTCCAATGGCTCAGTTGCTCTTGCGAATCTCTGCCCGCATGAGCGATAATTTGTGATTATCAGCATTTGGATACGCTTTAAACGACAACGTTTAAACTCTAGACAGAACTGTAAGACGGACTGATCTTCTTTTTCCGTATTGTTTGGAGTTTTCTCACAGCTTTGGCTTGCTCTTCCGGCCCGTCTACTTTCAGCCTTCTCTTCATTCCTTCTATTAATGTTTGTTAGGACCCGTTTCGGACATCCTTGGGAAGGGTTTTATAATGCATTTTTGCTTCCCTCTCTAACGGGCCTACCAAGATATCGCGCCCTTTCATTATCTCGCCGTGTTGTCTCTGGGTATTTTAATCGAAACTGTCTTAAGAAATCTGTGAACTTTTCTCATTTGCGCTTTGAGAATGGTTTGACATTCATAGCAGCCGCTCATGTGGTCATTCATGGGGCGTGCTGTGCTCATCTCGCCTTGCAAAAACAATTCTGACTCATCACTACTTGAACCGCTACTTCCTAGTGACTGGAATTGACCTTGCTGCCCATTTGACAAAGATCCCATCGCTGTTGGTGTCATGCGCGGCGTCCGCTGAATGCATTCAGTATTATGGGTGTCAATGTAATTTTTTTCATTTGACTCACTTTCCATGGGCTCTTGACCCGCCAAAATCATCCGCCTCCTTCTTTGGAGTTCCTTACGGTCCGCCGCTTTCGTTCGCAAGTGTTATGCCTGCAACATCTCTATTTTTTTTCTTCCTGCTCGATTCCGTGTTGGACCACTTGCTTAGCATCGCAGCCATAGAGTTCACAAAGTAGCGCGACTACTTTATTATCGCGGCCCATTGCTTGTTTGTTTTTTAGCGCTAGTGCTCACAATGTCTAGTTGACACCCCGCTAGTTGGACTTGCTTGTTTGTTGCGCTATATACTACTCTTTCTCGCACTTCGCTACTTGTTCTCAATGCAGTGCTCATCGCGTCATCTGCGGCAGTTCTAACTTTTTGCAATTCAAACCTTAGCCTTTCCAGAGCTCTTTCAAATGTGCTTACCACTGGGCTCAGCAAAGTGGCTTCTTCTTTATTTTTGTGACGTTCCCCGCCCGGTCCGCAGTATCCTGTAAATCTTGTCGTCGGACATATTAGCTCGCTTTCTTCGTAAACACCTGCTTGATAGTTGCTTGTATATATGCTCCCGTGCAGTTGTGCAATTTCCGGAACGACCTTAGTGACCAATGGTCTAGCCAGTAACCGCGGCTGGTATCCGCTTCTGGATCGCTGACCACTCTGATTTTAACCACTTCTGGGTCTTTGGTTGTTTGCTTCAGCTGCTGAACACTTCTGGGTCGAAAGCTGCTAGCTAGTTCTTTTTCCACTGAATTCGAGCCGGCTTGGCCCCATGTAAAGTAATTCGCTCGAAGGCAGTGAAGAAAAAGAACTTTATCTTACAAAGAGACGACAATCGCAAGTAACAGAACAAAAAAAAACCGAAGATAATGAGAGGGAACCGCCGGGAAGGGAGAAATGCTAAAATAAAAGAAATTTGAAAAGAAGAACAATGAGCACTCGTGTGAGGGCTCTCTTCTTTTAAAAGAACGCGATCCCGCGCAATCATCCGTGCTCTACGAATCCGCGATCAGATTGGGCTAGCGCTCATCCTGTGTTACACTGTAGTAAGAATCGCTTTCTTTCATTTTCATGTTGGCACATCATCCTAACGGGTAGAGTAAGCTAGAAGGCAAGTCACGCTCTGAAAAACAATTGCTGTGAGATCATATAATCGATAGCAAACTGGACGTGTCTCAGATGCTAGTGTTGCTTGCTTACTGTTGCACATACAAATTGTAATGAACACTACAAACACTTCAACGCGCATTCGGCTGCGTTAATTACAAAGAATTAGAATGTTCAGTGAAGCTCAGTATCAAGAAGGTAAGCCCATTCTGGAGAAACTAAAAAACGAATCGCCTCATTCATATATCAATACAGAACAGTACCTTTATAACTTACTAATGAATAAAGAGGGACTTGTAACCCTCTGGTACTTAGTACGGCAAGAGACTCCACTTTCCGTTTTGAAGGCATTATCATGTAGAGCTCGATGACTTAATTCTAATGGTGTGGGATTCGCTATCTGAAGCCGCAGATCTAGGTGAAGGCAGCAGTCAACAAGAGGACGATCGTGCTCCCCAGCCCTTGAAAACAATAGTGGCATGGAGGTGAAGGGAATGACTTTGTCGGAATGCTACGCTTGTTATATCGTTAGATAGCATTTTTCTTGCGGAATCAAATCGCGTAGGATTCAATAGAGTTCCATGAATCCGGCCACTTCCCATTTTCAAGGGGAAATGTGGCTAAGTGCAAGGTTTGTTGCACATTAGCAAGTACCCTTAACCAGTTCGCTGTCGATTATATGATCTTACAGCGATTGTTTTTCAGAAGCGTGACTTGCCTTCTGGCTCACTCTACTCGTTAGGATGATGTGTCGAACTGAAAGAAATGCAATTGTTACGCCAGACTAGGGCAAACACTGATGTTTAGGGCCACATTGTGGAAGATTCGCTCCCCTATCATGGAGCGTACTACGAATTTTCTATCTTGTACTAAACCGAGAGCACAGCTGCTCAGCGATGTTGCCTGCACTTTACTAGACTCCAAGGATGCACCTTCAAAATTGGAAAAAAATTGTTAAATTAAGTTCACTGACTGTTTTCCGGAATTTGGACTGAAGTGCAAACGATTCGAAAAGTTGGCGATGGACTGAGGAGCCCGAAAAAAGAAATAAAGGTTCGTTTCCTTCATCAGAGGTCAAAAATGCAGTTCTGACCACTTCTCAGGAAGAGGCTGAGCTACTTATCGAAACCCAACAAATCATACACCATTGAATTTGTCATGTAGAGGCGAATCTAAAGATGCTTATGGCTTTTTATTTGACCTTCTTGAAAGGAGTTATGGCAAAGCGGCAGTTTGCTGCGGATTAAGCCGTCTTTTTCCCGCAAATTAAGAGCGGTATTGTAGTGTGCATACGCTAAATAGCGAAAGTGCAACTAGCCAAGCGAAAGTGCAACTAGCCACAGAAACAGGCTGGAAAGAAAGTCCTGTCATTCTTTTTTGAACAGCTTACAGCTTTTGACTCTTGATGTTCGAACATGACGTAGTATGCTATACTTGAAGGACATCCTAGAAGTTTTCCCGCAAAAGGTAGATAAAGGCGCCTGGTCCCCTCTGGGTTTAACCCATTCGTGACAATGTCCGCCACTGGTGGTGGACACCGAGATGTCCCTTTGAAACCGTGTCCAGCATAGGTGGTGGACGGGAGGTTCATGAAATTTTTGGAATTAGTCCAAGTTCTTCGAGAAATTTTTCCCAATACTACAAGTCTTCATACCTTCGTTTATTTATACAAATTGTGGACCAACGAGATCTTCAGTTATATGGGTCCCAGGCACGATTCTACCAGCAGCACCTGAGGCCAAAACCTCTATAAAAAATTCTGCTAAGAAATTATCGATAGGGATAGCTCAGTGCCCCCTGATCAGGAGCATGACGTCCGTTTCTGACGCCGGCGCTGACGCCATGTGGCGCTACTCGGCGCCAATTTGGCGCCAACACTTTTTTCATGGAAACCGGTATAAACTTTAGACAAAGTAGCATACTAGAGCTTTTTGTTGCTCTGATTACGAATAGAGACATTCACCACAGATACCAGCGCCAACTGGCGCCAGTGAGCGCCAGTTAGGTGCTATCACCTCTTCCACCCATACTGATGTGAACTTGGACACTGGGGTTATTGGCTGTCCTAATTATTGACATGATATACATTTCTAGCACGAGCGCTAGCATAGGGTACAGTGGTTATCAACGCGATGCTAAGGCTGAGCTTACCTCAGAAGGAGAGAGTCACTCCTCCTCCAAGGCTGCCCTTCCAGAGTGCTACATGACGCTCACATTACCAAATAGCTGAGAATTCAGGAAAAAAAGTCGTGGCGCCAAGAGGGTTTTGGCGACGAATAGCGCCGGTGATAAAACTACAGGCACTGCTAACTCTCCACTGCCGCGGTCACTCGAAACAGTTTTCAACCAACTTCTTCCTCCCGTGGACGGACTTGGCTTAACAGTTCCCTGGGGTAGTTTGACCTTCTAGGTACGAAGGCGCGCCACAGGCGCCGGCGCTAAAGCGCTGGATATCACTAAAATCATGAAAGCTTGCCAATGGGGGTAATTCAGCCCCTGAATACGCTGTGGAGTGATCATTCCTTTACCAAGGCTCAGCTGCTGCAGAGGAATTGATCAGCAGCCTCAGCAGAGAAAGGGATCACTATCTCGGGAAAGTGTGCAGAAGTGCAGAAGCGGCTATCACCTGTACCCGCTTCACTTCTTCCCAGACATGTAGCGCCCCATGGAGATATGATATTCGTGTCCAGGGAGTCAAACCATCCCAATGGACAAGCTTTCATGAGTATGGTTCAGGGTATTTTGCGCCGGCGCCTGTGGCGCGGCGCCAGGAGGTTTCGGGCTGAGCTGACATGATATTCATGTTAAGGGGGAACAATTTTTTCAGCTAATTCTGCTCACGGAAAAAAAATTCAATCCAAAATTGGTCTAATTTCGGATGACTGGGCTAGTAAAGGGCAAACAATGCCAAAATAAATTGCATATTCCCGATCAGGATGTCGAACAAGGCCAGTGTGCAATTTTATACCGATTTCAGCGAAGAATGAAAAGGGCCAAAATTGGTTGGCGCCGTTCTGGCGCCAAATGGCGAGATTCCGCCGTATGCCAAAAGTGAATGTAGTCAGTCTGAGTGACAAATCACATCAATATACTAGCTTACACTGATCTCCGTGGGAAAGACTATATCACTGAGGTGGCGCACATGCCTCCAAATAGCGCCGGAGGACAATGCGAATGTCATTTTTGTGACTTGAGGAATATTCTCTGAGGTTTAAGGTTCAGCAAAAACTGATTTAGGAGCAGTAAGTTTAACAGTGCCAAAATTTTAGTGAGGGGTCACTAGGGACCGTGTCCACCACTGGTGCCGGACACTTGCTGAGAGCTCGCAAATACCCCGGTCCGAACAAGCCGCTTTCGAAAAATGCGCCTGGTCGCGAATGTGTTGATTACGATGTCAGGAGCAGTTTCGAGTCGTCATCTTCTATGAGTGGCGGCGGCACTAGAGTGACGGCAGCTATCCGCCACATCAACAATGCATTGGGGGGAGTACATCACTCCATCAGGACCGTCCATCGCTGGTTCGCTCGCTTTGCGAAAGGAGACACGATCTTCGAAGATAAACGTTGGTCGGGACGCGCCAACGAAGTGGAAGGCTCC